CTGCGCCACCAGGGAGGCCCCATAAAAATAAATCTTTAAAAACCTTTCAGAAATTGAAACTTTCAGAAAAATGTAAAAAACAAATCACTGAAAAGACTATTTCAATCTGGGAAATGAATCAGATGATGAGGTTCAAAAGGCACAGAGTTCCAAAAAAATAATAATAGTAATACACATACCAAAACATATTATAAAACTGTTGAAAATGACAAGGACAGAATATTAAAATATCAAGAGAAAAAAGGGTAACCTAGAAGGGAATAAGAAACAGACTATCATTGGACTTTTCAATAGAAATATTCAAACATTAAAAGCATGAAGGAACTAAAAGGAGATATTTAAAGCACTTAGAGAAAAAGACTTCCAGTCCAAAATCATTTACACAGCAAGACCAACATTAAGCAAAAACGAGTAAGAAGCTTCACTGAAAAGTAGAAACTGAAAGAATGTATCAACACCAAGTCTCACATGAAAGAAATTCTAAAGGGGTTATTACAAAGTGACAGAACAATAAATATTGAAGCATCAGACACCTAGATGAGGAAAAGGAAAATAATAATGTGGTCCACCAGAACCAGTCAGAGAACAGACAATCCAATGGGTCACACAAATAGCCCATCATATATTAACCTCAGAAAACCCTCAATCAAAAAATAATAGAAGTAACACATAAGAGTGAACTTAAACAAAACAGGAAGCCCTTGAAAATGAAAAACAAATAAAAACAAAAACATAACTATAGTGGGCACTTATATCTCACAATAACTTAATCGAAAATAGTCTAAACTCACTATTCAAACGATATAGAAGAATGGATTTCAAAACAAAGTCCAGCCTTCTGCTGTTTACATGAAACTCACCTTACCAACAAAGACAGACACAGAGTTAAAGGCTGGAAGATAGTTATACAAGCAAATGACAACCAAAAAAAAAAAAAATCAGGAACAAGTATACTTACACGGTAAAATAGAATCCCAATTAGAAAGGTAATAAGGGCCTCCCCTAGTGGTGCAGCAGGTTGAGCACAGCGCTGTGAAGCTGTCCACAGCCTCCGCAGTGCTGGAACTGGCTGGCGAGCGAGATACCCACATGGCAATGCAGACCTCTCCTGTCTCACCCACTGCTCCCCTCCACAGTGTATTTCAGTCAGTCTGCCTGTTCTGTTCCCCTCTCTGTCCCTAGTGAATCCTCTCACCCTCCAGCATATCTGGCCTGTACTCTGGTTCTTGTATGCATGAATAAATAATTTTTTTAAAAAAGGTAATAAGGGGCCTCCCTGGTGCACAGGGGTTAAAGACACACTGCGATCAAGGTATCACCAGCCACTGAAGCATGAGTTCAATCCCTAGCCAGGGAGCTAACCCACATGGGGCAGCAGACCTCTACTGTCTTGCCCGTTGCTCCCCTTAGCAATAGATCTGCCTGTTCTGCTCCCCCTCTGTCTCTGGTGAATCCTATTACCCACTCCCACCCCCCCCATTTCTTATATGCATAAATAAATAAATCTTTTTAAAAAGTATTTGCTTTTGGTATTAACATAGCCACAATCAAACTCTTTTTTAAGATTTTATTTATTTATATAAGCACTGGGGCACAGGCCAGAGGCACAGGAGGGCGAGAGAATTCACCCAAGACAGCAGGGAGCAGAACAGGCAGAAGGACCGAAACACACTGCTGAGGGGAGCAGCAGGCAAGGCAGGAGAGGTCTGCCACTCCATGTGGGAATCTCCCTGGCTGGCCGGGAATCGAACAGGTGAGGCTGAGTCTGCGGACAGCTCCACAGCATGGCGCTCAACCGGCTGTGCCACCAGGGAGGCCCCACAATCGAATTCTTAATCAAATTTTGTATGATTATATAAAGTAAACATACTGGACTTTTTTTTTTCACCAACTCCTACATAGGCAGGGCCACAATTCACATAGAATATGGTGTCACTAGGTTACATAATTCTCATCCCGTCTACCCTGTGTGTTATACAAATGTTACCATTTTATACATGGACTATTGGCAGAATAAAAGCAGGGAAGCACAGACCTGGATTTACCCTAACACCCTTGTCTTCCCTTTTATAAGGCAGAGTCCATGTACCTACCACATTTGACTCCTCCCTCTAGGTTGTAAAGTATGGTGGGAAGAGAAAGAATTAAGTTAGCATTAACAATTGAAACACGCTAGTGCCTGGAACACAGAAAATGCCAAATAGCAATGGTCCATAGTCATCCTTGGTCCATGGGACACAAAGATGCAGCAAATGTGGCTCACAGAGAAGTGAACAGTGTAGTGAGAGAGCCAGACCAAAACACACAAGGTCAATAGCCCCAGTTCCTATGGGTACACAGACAAGAGGAAACCAAGGAAGGAGGTTAGTAGAGAAGGTGTCCCAGAGGAATTGATGTGTAAATTGAAATCTGAAAAACAGCAAGAATTAATCACTTGAACAATGATGAGGGTAGGGAAAGAGTCCTGAAGGCAGGAAGAACAGCAATTTATTCATATTGTTTATTTTACAATTAAGAAAAATCCAAAGTTCAAGAGAGGTCAGATAATAACTTGATGACAAGACAGAGTATGCATCCTCTGCAGGGGCTACATTCCAAAGAGAAATACAAGGCTAAAGGTTTCAAGTCAACATTTACAATACTTACAGAGTTTATGTTCCAGGCACTGTTCCCAGTATTTTAGCTATTTTAACTCATTAAATCATGACCTGTACAATGGGAATGGCGGATAAGGGAAGCACTGCCTCAAAAGGAAGTGAGAAACACAACAATGATACCAGGTGTAAAAGACAGACAATGATGTGGTAAAAACTGAGCAATTCTTAAAAGTTGCCCTGAAATACTAAGAATACTCCTTAAAGCTTAAGATTGGGAACAAGTGGTAGAAGAAACTCACTGTGTCTAAGTTTCATCATGATAACCAGTTGAAAGCAAGTAGATTCAAATTTGCAGACTTTCTACCTGTAGAAATGGGAGAGAACTAATTTGAAGACAGAGAACCACGATTACACATGCCTGCTAAGAAAGCCCAAAAATTTAGAGGAAATGGGAGAAGGGGCAATACTGGAACTAGGGCCTGGTAAGCCTACACAGAGAAGGAAACTTCACAATACCCAAAGGGAGGCAAGTCTTTAACCTCTCTTCCTCTATGGAGTTACTACCTCAATTCATTAGATGGGGGTCAGTGATCTCCAATCCCCCATCCTATAGTGTTATATACCCTAGGTAAGGGCCTAGCATTAAACCCCTCTATGCTGAGGGAAGGGAGGATGCAAGGAAGATCTATTTCTACATAGGGTGTTAATAGTACCTCTTTTCCCAAGTAGAGGGTTCTGTGTCTCATCTACTCTGGAAGGGGTGGGGAAGACAAATCCCTGGAGGAAAGGGACCTCAGCACAGGGCTTTGAAACCTGTGTGTCTATGTGGACTGAGATCAGTACAAAATCTTGGAGAGGGAAAAAAATTTGTGCCTGCAAGTGAGATTGGGGTTTAGTCCTTGGTGACTGGGGCAAAGGGGAGGGCATAAGATGCTTTTTGTCACTCTACTCTGTGGTGTAGAGAAACTGGGAAAACTGGTACAGTGGGTGTTTGCAGAGGTGGAGAGAGGTGTACATTTCTGAATTGTACACAGGTTGGTTCTGAGTCTCTTTACCCTGGAGAGGAATGCAGAGTGGGAATGAAATGCCTGCTTCCACCATAAGGTAGCATTAGTGCCACACTAACACAGGGGGAATTATGCAGCTTTGCTTGAGTGGAGTATGTACCCTGCCTGCAGTGAGCCATTCTAGACCATTCCACAGGAGATAAGATGGGGAAGATCTGCCTACTTTTATATGGGCTGAAGTCAGCAGTGAGCTAACATCAGAGGGAACAAGACCTTTGGTTCTCTGTGGGGGGGGTGCTACTCAGCAATAAATTGAAAGGATCAGCTCTTGGGGGGTGGGGAAGAGGTAACCTGGGTGTAAAGAGATCTGAGCTCGTCCCCCTTGGGTAAGGGAAGAGTCCACATGCTTGAACTATAGAGTGATTGGTAATGCCACCGCCTCCCAACACTGCAAGGAGAAGGAGCTGCATCTCCCTGCTCCCTTAGGGTCTCTCCCTTGCTATATTCAGGGATTCTAAATCCTGGGGGGAGGGATGATATGTGCCTAGCTCAAAAAGAGAACAAATCTTATCCTCTGCATGGGGCACATGAAGGCCAAATCTAACAGTCTCTCTGGAGTTAAGGTCTGTTTGTCTTTACTGCAGGGCCTTCATAAATTCTGTAAACCAGTGCCTGTTGGCCCAGGGGGAGGAGAGAAGTCGGTTCTGCTTTTCCACAATGGGTACTTACTCTGGCCTAGGAGAAAGGGGATATCTGTGTGGCTCTGTGCAGCACCAACAACTTTGGGGAGGGGGGGCTCCATGGTCACTGCAGGAGTGGGGGCGGGGCCAGTTACTCTGGGGTGAGACAGGGAGGTCTCTACTTCATGACAGGAATGGTAGGCGGTTCCCTCACTCTGTATATTAAACATTTCTGAGGCCCTCTATTCTGAGGAGGAATATATCAAAGTCTGCAATAAGACCGAGGTGGGTGGAGGCAGGTCAGTGTACCTTAGCGCCAGCAGAGGACTCCACCTCCAGCCTTACGAGGAGGGAGACAGGTCTATATGGGTCGATGCCAGAGTGAGCAATGGGATCCTCACTTAACAAAGGGTGGAAGGCGACGGTCTCTCTACCACTGAAGCGGGGTCTGTGACTATCTACACACTGTGTCTAGGGTAAACACCTGTCTGGATGGGGTAGGTTCCCGCAAGACTGCATCTGGGCGCATCTCCACGTGCTAAGTGATTCCTGCCCCTTACCTAGGCCCTTCTACCTTGGAAGAGAGCCGATTTTTTTTACCTCTCTGTTCCAGGATGAAGGACGTCTCTGGTTTCACCTCAAATAGACAATCTATACCATGCGGCAGGCTGGGTGGGCGAGCGCACAGCAAGAGAAAAAACAGAGTCGTCTCTTACCTCCACTTCCGGCGGAGATCAGAAAGGAAAGGCTATCACAACACAGTTGGCCCAGGAGCTGCGCTTGCGCCGCTGGGCTCTGACTTCCGGATCCCAGCTTTGAGGCGTGCGGCTCCGCCCTCTGGGCGTCTCGGGGGCGGGGATTCTGATTGACAGCTCGAGCCCGCCGGTCCCTTCCTGGCAGAGGCGCGGGCCCCGCCTCCAGGCTGCGGGGGAAGGTAAGGAAATAGCCAAGGAGGGAGGAGGGAGGCTGGGAAGCTGTGGGGAGGGCGGCAGCGGTTCCACTTGTGTAGTTTTGAAACTGATTTATAAGCCCAAGAACTTGCCAGCAGGCCTTTGCCTGGGCCTAAATTTTGGTGTTCCCGAATCTTAGCGAAAAGGCCATCACCATTAGTGAATCAGACAATGGTGGGGAAAAGTGTCTTTGTCTGTGTGGAAGATGGCGACGTTCAGGGTGTGAGAAAATGGCTGCCCGGGTCACATGTCTTGCCGAGTACTCCTCACCTAAAGTGACTTGGCTAGCTGTTCCCAACAACCTTCCCAGCTTGCGGGGTCCCAGATAAACCCCATGGCAGCCACTTTGAGCTCTTTCTGCATAAGTTCAGAGTCATTGCCAGACCCATGAGTGGCATAACTGGAAGCCTTACCCACATGTTTTTCCTCTCCCCTTCCTCTCTGTTTCCCTCAGGCCCAGGGGTGGCATCTGCAGTAGGGAATGAAATATCTCTAAAATGGGGTCAAGTAAGGATTTCTTAAGAAGCCATCTTAAGGAACTCCTGACCTGGCTAGAAACTTAAAAACAGTAAATATTTGTAAATGGAAACATCTATTTACTGATAGTAGTTAAGTCCTCCAATTCAGGTACATCCAGACAGAAAATGAGCCCCCTCTATCTACTCTTTTTTTTAAAAAAAAAAGATTTATTTATTTTTATACAAAAGCTGGGGTACAGCCCAGATGCGCGGGAGAGTGAGAGGACTCACCAGAGACAGAGTAGGGAGCAGAACAGGCAGACTGAGGAAATACACTGCTGAGGGGAGCAGCGGGGAGGTGGGCGGACAGGAGAGGTCTGCCGCACCATGTGCGTTGCTCGGCAGCTGGCGGGGATCAAGCTGGCACTGCAGAGGCTGCAGACAGCTTCACAGCACTGCGCTCAACCGCCTGTGCCACCAGGGAGGCCCTCTATCTACTCTTACATCTAACATACAAAGGGCTCACTGCCTCTACATTTGTGGAAGTCTTCTGATCTCTCATCTTAGACACAAGCAAAACCCTGGATCCCACACCAGCGCTGGCCACTTTCACCTTTCCTCTCTGAGTTAGCATGTTCTTTGTGTTTCGTTAAGACCTAGAACTTGTGACTTCTGTGAACGTTCCCAGCTGGCTTAGAAACTCAGTGCTTTGTCACACTTATGACTTAATACTGTAATCATTTATGTGACTATTTCCACAGGAGACTGAAATCCCTAAGACTAGGAGCCATATAACTTGGATTCCTCAATAAGACCCAGCACAAGCCTGAACAAGTCAGGCTTCAGCAAATTTTTGTTATATGGGTGAGTTTATAGGTCTGTACCATGAATCGATGGGAAATAGACATTTTAGTAGATAGCATAAGGAGAAAAATAAAGGTGGGTCCCTACTTACTTCCATATAAGAGGCTGAAGAATATCGTTTCACCTACAACTCTGAAAGGATTTTTTACACAAAGTTTCAAAGCTATAAGAGAAAAATGAGACAGATAGTAGATAGGTAGATCTCGCCTAGACTTTAAGTCCTAGAGAAATTTTGGTACATATGCACAGGAGGCATGTGCAAAAATATTCACTGCAACAGTGGAATGAATAAATGAAGGTCCAACCACATGGCAGAATACTATACAACAGTGGAAATAAATGAACCAGACTTGCTGTATCAACCCAGATAAATTTCTTTTTTTTAAATATTTATGTATTTATGCATACAAGAACTGGGTACAGGCCAGAGGTGTGGAGGGGTGAGAGGACTCACCAGAGACAGAGTGGGGAACAGAACAGGCAGACTGACTGAAATACACTGCTGAGGGGAGCAGGGGGTGAGTCAGGAGAGGTCCGCTGTGCCATGTGGGTAGCTCCCTGGCTGGGGATCAAACTCGAGTTGCAGTGGTTGCAAACAGCTTCATAGGTTGTGTCTTAACCCCTTGCACCACCAGGGAGGTCCCAACCCAGATGAATTTCAAAAGCAGGGCCTCCCATGGTGGCGCAGGCAGGTGAGCATAGTACTGTGAAGCTGTCCGCAGCCTCTGCAGCGCCGGTTCGATCATGGCCGGCCAGCGAGGGTCCCACATGGTGTGGCAGACCTCTCCCGTCTTGCCTGCTGCTCCCCTCAGCGGTGTATTTTGTCAGTCTGCCTGTTCTTTTCCCTGCTCTGTCGCTGGTGAATCCTCATACCCTCCCGCATATCTGACCTGTACCCTGGTTCTTGTATAAATAAATGTTTAAAAATTTTTTTTAAAAAAATTCAAAAGCACATGCTGAGATAAAATACAAGTTGCAGAGGATACATGAAGTATGAGACTATATAAATTTTTAAAATCTAGAAAACAATGTACTATGATGTATATAAAGTGTATATATATATATATATATATATATATACAATATTTTTTAAATGGAATTGAATCCAGATGCAGAATGGAGATTATCTCTGGGGGAAAAAAAGGAACAAAATGTTTGATATTTTATCTGAGCAATAGATACATGGATATGATTATATTTATATATATTATTTTTATATTATTCTCTGTAATTATTTGTATGCCTGAAGTTTTTGATAAAAACTGTGAGGAACTGCAATAAAATTAATGGTGATTAGGGCCTCCCTGGTGGCGCACAGGTTAAGTCTCATCTCTATCACTGCTGTGGCCTGAGTGCTATCCCCAGCCAGGGAGCTAACCCAAATGGCGCAGCAGACTCTCCTGTCTCACCCACTGCTCCCCTCAGCAGTGTATTTCAGTGGATCCACCTATTCTGTTCCCCACTCTGTCTCTGGTGAATCCTCTCATCCCGGTTCACCCACCACCTCTGGCCTCTACCCCAGTTCTTATATGCATAAATAAATAAAATAAATCTTTAAAAAAATAATGGTGATTAAATCTATACCAGTGGTTCTTGGACTTTGGCCTGCATCAGAAACAACTGTGAATACACCAGTTATTGGGCTCCACACTCAGTTATGTCTCGGTAAGTCTGGTGTGAGGCCCAAGAATTCAAATATCCAACAAGTTCTCAAGTGATGATGATGAAACTACTGCTGCTAATTCAGGTACTACATTGTGAGAACTACTGACAGAAATGAAATTATTGGTGAATTTAGTTTTCTTTATTGTGTTTATCTCTGTTTTCCCAGTATTCAGTGAATATGTATTATTTTAGGGAGAGGTTTTTGTTGCTTTTAAATTGCTTTTATCTCTACTTCCTACTCTCATTTCCCTCCTTGTAGGCAACCATTCTATGCTGTTTTATGTGTATCTTTTTGTTTATATGTGTTCTTGAAAAATGTGTATTATTGTTCTAAGTGCATGTATTTCACCAAAATTTTTATATTTCGATTTTTCAAAATTTAGAAAAGTTGAAAGAATAATACTGTGAAAGCCCATATGCCTTTAATATTTTGCCAGATTGGCTCTACTTCTCTTTATATGCATATGTATACATTTTTTAAATATTTTTTTAGGTTTATTTATGCATACAAGAACTGGGGTACAGGCCAAATGTATGGGGGGGATGAGCGGATTCACCAGAGACAGAGTGGGGAACAGAACAGGCAGATTGACTGAACTACACTGCTGAGGAGAGCAGCGGGCAAGTCAGATGTCTGCTGCGCCATGTGGGTGGCTCCCTGGCTGGGGATCGAACTTGTGCTGCAGTGGCTGAGGATAGCTTCATAGGTTGTGTCTTAACCCCTTGTGCAACCAGGGAGGCCCTGGATACATTTTATTTTTGATGAACCATTTGAAAGTTGAAGACAGTATAATACTTTACCTCATAATTCAGCAGGCATCTACGAGAATAAGAACATTCTCCTAAATAACCACAAAACTATTATAACTCCTATCAAAATTTAATAATAATTTAATAATTATAGCAAATATACCCTATATTCAAAGTTTTCAGTTGTGCCAAAAATGTTTTTAGATCTGCTCTTAGTTTTTGATCCCAGGAGCTATCAAGGTTAGCAGTACCCACATATGTTCTGTGTTTTTATTACACTGATATTTTTGAAGAGTCCAAGCTTAGAATGTCCCACATTGTGGATGTGTCTGCTCTTTTTGTAACAGGGTGGTGCCCAGGAAAGGGTGAGGTTCCAGGTTTCCTGCCCCACCCAAAAGGAGGGTGGAGCTGAGCAAAGAGAGAAGAAGCTGCAGAGGAGACTGAGAAGGAAGGAAGCATGATGGAGAGCCAGAAGGAGACCTGGAGGAGGCACATGGAGCTGAGAGACACATGAAGAAACTGTGCTTGCCTTTTGGTAATGGACTGGTTGACACGGATGTGGATGAGAGACCCTTGGGGAGGTGACAATGGTGGTTTTTGTCTTGATTTTGATTTTTCTATTTTCCTTCCAGACTTGTCTGGTTGTTTCTGATCCTTTCCTGTGGGTCCCCACTGGAAGATGGTTTAGACTTGTGGCAGGCTTTGGGGCCTTGTTCTGGGCCAATCCTGCTTGGGTGGACTTTTACCCACAAGGGGGATGGGTAACTTTGGGTGCTTGATTCAGAAACTATATTCTTTGCCTTTCCTGTATTGTTTATTAATTGTATTAAAGTTCTTTTTCATTAAAGTCTTATATGTTTTGTGTTGATGCGGCAGATGGCAGAACCTATTTAGTGCAGGCAGGTTTGTGGGGTCTGGGGTGCCCCTCTCCCTGCCCTGTAACAATTCCACATAACTAGATTCAGATTAAATACGTTCAGTAATAATGCATATAGAACCTACAGTAGAGTAGATATTACTTACTTCATATTGTTTCAACCTTAGGAGACACATCATAATCAGGTTGCCACTTTGGAGGATACTCTGTGTGTTTATTTTATATAAATGTCATCTCTCATTCTGTTTCTTACTGTTTTTCATTCAACCTTGTATTTGTAAGGTCTATGCATGTTACTGTGTATATATCTAGTCCACTGCCTCTGACTATTCATGATAACCACAGCATGCCTTTGCCA